TCTGGATTTTCTTTAAATATTGGGCATTTATTGGATGGGGGAAGTTCTCACTAGTCAGAAGAGCACTAAATCCTTTAATTTCCCACCTAACTGTTATCTTCTATCAGATCTCGGGGAAATCAAAGCTGATTTTGCAAAGTGATATCTGTTACTTTTATTGTTAAATTAAAACTTGAACTTTTTATGGTGACATTTTGCAATTTCTTTGTCAGAGTTCTCCCTCTCAGAATTGCCGAGCTGTGCATATGCTTACAGTAGCAAAATCATTTACTTTTATTTGTGATCAAATATTTATTTTTGTTTTGTTCAATACGTATATTGGAGCCAAATCTTTCAACAGCTGGGTGTAGCTAACATTATGTTTGTGTTACATTTCCCTGTATTTGTGATAACTAACAGTGTCAGGCCACTCTCAGGCAGATTATACAGCAACTTTCAAGTAAGGAGGATGTCTCACAGTGCTTCACAAAACCATCTGGAAGCCCGACCTGGGAATGGGGTGATGCTGAAGAAAGAGGCAGGAGTGGGTCGGGTGGTTCTCGCCTGGACAAGTAGCTAGAAGCTTGGCAGTATTTGCAAAGCCAAGCTGCCTGATTTTAGCTGGTTAAGCTCCTGCATTATCCCAATCCATACACTGGGGTATGCAAGCCTTAGCTCTTGTCAACCTTCTCCTCAAATCTCTGTGAATATATAAGCAGAATGTATTCTCCAGAGAGAGAGAATGCACTCTCAAGTTAGACGAGATGAAACGATACATACATAAGGCTCTTAGTAGTTTGGTTTGGAAATGTAAGCATGCTGACAGGTTTCTGAGTATATCAGACACTTGCCTAACCAAAGAACAATTGTGGAATAGGGCATGGGTTTGTATTTTATTTTATACATAACTGAAGCCAACGACAAATGTCATAGGAATATAGGAATTAGCAACAGGAGTAGGCCATTCGGCCCCTTGAGCCTGCCCTGCCATTCAATAAGATCATGGCTGATCTTCTAACCTAACTCCATCTGCCTGCTTTATCCCCATATTCCTTAATCCCTCTAACCTTTAGAAATCTATCAATCTCAGTCTTAAATATGTTCAAGGACTGAGCATCTACAGTCTTCTGGGGTAGAGAATTCTATAAATTCACTACCCTCTGAGTGAAGAAGTGTTTCCTCAACTCTGTTCGAAAGGGCTGACCCTTTATCTTAAGACTGTGACCCCTGGTTACCGATTCTCCTCCCAGGGGAAACAGTCTCATACTGTCCACTCTGTCAAGCCCCATAAGAATTTTATATGTTTCTATGAGAACACTCCTAATTCTTCTATATTCTAGAGAATATAGGCCTAGTTTACTCAACCTATCCTCATAGGTCAACACCCTCATCCCAGGACCTAACCTAGTGAATCTATGCTGCACCCCCTCTAAGGCGAGTATGTCCTTTCTTAAATAAGGAGATCAAAATTGCACATAATATTTTAGGTGCGGTCTCACCAAGGCTTTATACAGTTGCAGCAAGACTTCCCTACTTTTGTATTCTAACTCGTTTGCAATAAACGCCAACATGCCATTAGCCTTCCTAATTGCTTGCTGTACCTGCATACTAATTTTTGAGACTGGTGTAAAAGGACACCCAAATCCCTCTGAACACTAACGTTATCTAGTCTCTTCCCCTGTAGAAAATAATCTGCTTTTCTGTTTTTACTATCTAGGTGAATAACTTCACCATTGAAGTTATTGCTGTATAGTGTGAATGGATTTAGCTGTGAAATAATTTAGCTAAATCATAACGTCACAAGAGGTTCAGATGGAGGTGCTTCAGCGATTTGATCTGATCCATCCAGAATACTCAACCTGCCATCCTCCCATTACATCAAGTTACATCAAGCTGTAAAAGCTGCTTCTTGAATGTTGCTGCTTCTCTTTAATTTAATGCGAACAGACTGTACTACTGAGCTGAGCCCAGTACAAAGTATACAGATTGGTTTATTTTCATTGAGAGTAGCTGAACAGAATTGCCAGAAAGTCAGGCCTTGAGTCGGCATAGATTTAAAAGGACGTGGGCCCTGATCTTTGTTCTGGGGTCCTTGCTCAGCCTGAAATGGATTACTCCACACCAACAGGTGAAAGTTGTAAATTTGGAAACAGGAATTGTTTAGTTTGCATGCACTCTGTTTGCATGCCTTACTTTTATATTTGAGAGGGTTCTGCCCGATTTGAAGTACTGGCTTATTTTTTTGTGAAAGTGTTTGTGTTGCAATCAAGACTGGATAACATCACACCGTGTTAACATTAAAAATGTCTACATACCACAAGTAAGTGTGAAGAGTTCTGTTTCATTTCCACCCACCATGACGCAGTGGAAGGATTAAAATGCACCACCTCAGATTCCTGTTTGATTCGGCCTGATATTATCAGATTTTTCTCGTTAAAGCCTACCCTCTTTTTCTCTTCCAACATGTTTCTTTGTAGCTTGTGAAGGTAAAAGTTGGTTATGCTTACAATCAGATATTTTCTGACTGTGCACCCTATTGCACCATTACTACTATCCAATTAAGTACAGCACAAGTTAAGAGTCACAGTGTCGAAGGAAAATGTTAGCGATTTTGATGAATCGGCAAGAGCAGCCCAGCCACAAACTCATTTGCACCTTTCGGAGCTGTGGTTTTGTTAAAAAATATTCATTAACAACGGTTACTTTCTCAGATTAACATTAAAAATTAAAATTAATGACAATCGCCTCACAAGTGTAGTTTGATGGATCTGTATATTCAGTTGAATGCTCCTTCTGCCGTGTGTCCCAACAAAGTATCCTTTGGGGCTAACACCAGAAGCAAACCCTCTGCTACACATGTGTGGTGTGTCAATTTTCCCCTCTGCCTCTGTAGGAACTCTATGAGTGAGATTTTTAGGCCGCAGTTTTGTTTGTTGAGCGATATACTCTTGAGAGTGGCCAAACTTGCTTCAAATTCAGATTCTTACTAGTACTGGGGGTTAAGGGAGGTTTATATTGCAGTGCTGCTATCAGTAGAGAGGGGGCAGAAGCAAACCAGGGCTATATCCAACCATATTTATTCTTAAAACTTCAGATCATACATTCAGAAAACTCAGGCTTAATTTGCAAGCTCGTTTTGAACAGGTCTTAAAAATAAAGGACTGATTTTTATGAATTTTCAACAGTTGTCACCATGTTAAATTTTAAAACGAAATAGATTTACAGAGTAAGATAAGCTAGATTCTGTGCCTCCTGAGTTTCAAAGAGAAATGCACGACTTGTTTGAACAGTTTTAATTTTCTAGTTATTCCTTGGATACTTATTCAAATCTTTTGATTAATTCTACCAGCATTTGTAGAATAGTGAGGTTCAATTTCCAATGAACCTGTTAGCCTTCTCTGAAGGAAGATGAAAGCTGCCTCACATGACTGGAGTATCATAAAATGTTTATCCTTCTAATAGTTCACAGCAGCAATCATCAGAAATACGTATTTAATATATAGATGTAAAACTCAATGAATACCTGTCTTCTTTTGCTCATGGGAAAGCTTTGCACAACTCAGTGATTCTCATTATTCATATGGCCTTTCTCTTTGATGTGATAAAATGGTGGCCCATTGAATATCCTTTGTGAGCAATGTAATGAATTGCCAGTGATTACATTAGGATATGAACAACGCATTGAAAACCATCTTGCGACTCCATTAGTATCGTTACCGTTACTGGGTGCACACGAGTACCTTCACTTTGCCCTTTTAGCTAATTCTCTTAATCCTTTAATTCCTTCAGTATTCCTCCTCTCATGAGACTTTCTTATCGGCCCAAAAGATGAGGAGTACTGAAGGAATTAAAGGATTCCTTGCAATAATGCTGATTTGAAAACAACCCTTTTTTTCTTATCAGACTGTATATAGTTCAAGTAATTTCTCATAAGATTGCCAGGGTTATTGCAGACCCTTTCTCAATTCTCCAGCTGGTTCCCCACATTTTGTTTATTGCAGATTGTGGGTCATAAGAAGTACTGTACTGTGAGCTTGGAACGTTTCTCACATATAACCAAGCATATGACCAATGTGATACATAATGCTTCGAAGGAGACTATAATACACGTCTGGAAAAATCGTATTAGCTTGATGGTGAATGGCTGGATTATGCCTCTCCCACTCCAGGCTGTTTTGCGGCACAAACTGACTAATTGTACAAAAGTATGACAAATTGGATTAAGAATATACAGAGGTGTGGAACACGAAAAAACATCAAATCTTCTCTTGGAGACAATGCTCCGCATAGACAACAAAACAAGCAAAACATGTATGGATGTCTGAATGGCCTTCCATACACTCCAATTTTTCCTCTCCTTATGAGTTGGATCCTTAAGTCCTGCAATCAACCTCGTCAAGCTTTTGAAACTTATTAATAGCGTTTACAGTTTAGATTGTCCGAAACAGCTCACACTGGGCTATATTATGTGCTCTGTGTAAATATAAATGAATTATCCACCATGTGTACACTTGGGGGAGAGGAAGGGGAAGTTTTGTTCAAGAAGTTTCTAAATCGTTATGAAAGACAGACACTTTTTACATGCAGTCTTCTTGTGTTATAGTGACAAAATCAGTTTCTTTAAGAAGTGCTACCAACTAAAAAGGGAGCAATAGTATATAACATTACTGCAGAACTAATTCCATTCTTGTGTATTGTCATATGAGTTGATTTAATAATCATAATAATAATCATAATAATTCTTACATTTGATATAGAGCCTTAACACGTCATTGAGAAGTCTCGAAGAGCTTCACGGAATAGATTGTAAAGTGGATTGACTGTGTATTTTGTGGGCAAAACGCACACTTGCACAAAATCATGACAAATTGTAATTGATGGTCTATTTAAACCTCTTATTTCAGCTTTGGTTTCAAGTACAACATGCATTAACCTTTGTGTAAAGCTGCTGTAGTTTTTTCCACTTTGAAATTTCATGCTTGTCTGCTGTACTCTGACGATGTATCCCTCCTTCTCTGCAGGCTGTTCACACACACAAACCTCACTTTATTGCATTGCATTGCCAAGAGGTTGGAGGCAAAAACTACGAAGCATCAATGACTCACGTTGACAATTTCGTCAAGTAAGTACCGACTATTTTAACTGGCTCTGAAAGAAATTGTAGTTTTATTGGGTTTCTGTTCCTTAGGTGTGAGGAAGTTAAGAGGAGGTTACCATAGCCTGAAGATGTTGTAGGCACCACAGCTCCAGCACAAATTGCACTCCATAAATCCAATTTATATTATACCTTTAGTGGCAATTTGTCACAAAACGTTCCACATAGATACAGCTTTAGAGCGTAGTGGGAGCAAGAGGTTTCACAGATAAGGACACTGGTTGACATATATTCTGACTGGCCCTTTGCAGCTGGAATATTTCATCTGCTGATATACAAGGACACTGAGGAAATTTTGTGGAGATATAAATTTCTTAACTGTTCAAAATCATACACGTCGTACAGATTCACAATCCTAAAATCCTATTGAGAAAGAACTACTTTCAAGAATTGCCACTTTAATAAGTCTGGCAGCACCCAAGTATTGACAGATCAAGACGCAAATTGTTATAACGTCCATCCTCTCGAGTGTAGATTATGAACTGTGCAAGGATAGGATGCCCCCTTCTGTTGTTCAATGTTTCTGGCTCATCTCAGTGATCTGCTTTTTCAGGAAACGGGTGCCCCCTACTGGCACAGAGGTGTGTAGGTGCTTGCAAGTAATAGAGAAGATCCTGTCACCCATGTCAATGTTTCCAGCGATCTGCACAAATTCCCTCTTGATTGCTGTCACTTTTAATGAGATGCTATTTCTGTTTAAAACACTCACTTATCACCGCTGCCCCCATTATATTCCCTGGTATGTGAGAATTGAAAAGCAGAGCTGAATGTCCTCAAGTTCGGCATTTAGCCTCATGTTTCTCCGCAGAAATTCAAATTGGTGAAATTCGTAAGACTATTGATGATTCTTGTCCTTTTGGGGGTAATCTTGTATTTCTTTCTGGTTATACAGAAACTGAACTGGATTGTGACTGATTTCTGGTCACTCAATCCATACCTATTAAGAGCATTATAAATTCAGGTGCATGTCCCAATGCTTGAATTCCTCTGTGTAATTGAAAACTGGGAAATATCTCACTTCAAGAATGTATGCTGTTTTATAATTTGATAACTGGCAGAGAACTGTAAGATTTAATTTACTGCAAAATTTTCTAACCTGTTTCTGGCTGTACACTTCTCAACGCTATAACATTTTGGATGAAATTTATACTTCAGGCAAAGGATGTAAATGATGGGAAATAATATTTGACAATGTTCAGCATTTAGTTTTGGCATGAAACATACCTCCCAAAGCAGTTGCAGAACAGGAGTAAAGGACTAAGCTCCAGAGTTTTTTCCAGTAAATATGTTAACTCCAACCTTACAAGTGGGGCCCCAACGCACAAGGGATTATTAGTCCTATAATAATAATAATCTTGCATTTGATATAGTGTCTTATCATGTTTTCGAGACATCTCAAAGGGCTTCATAGAATACACTGTAAAGTTAATTGACTATCTTTTGTGGGCAAAACATGGCAGCCAATTGCACACAGCAGTATCCCTCGGTCGCGGATTGGGTGACCAAATTATTATCAGTTTTTATTTTCTTTAGAAGGGATTATTACTTCCCGGGCGGTCCGCCAATTGATTAAAAAACGGGTTCATACTTACTGTTAGATAAACAGATGTGTGTGGAGTAAGGAAATTTGCCCAACATTTCGCTCTGCTGGGAATCGAACCCAGTTCCTCTTGCTTGCATGGCGAATGAACCACTTAGCTACAGGACTTCATAAGAGCTACCTTTACAACAACCTGCATTTACATAGCATGCCTCATGCGGGGTAAAGTCTGAGAGTGCAATTGTCCTTAGAGTCTTTGAAGCAACAGAAAAGAAGGGGACACATTCAGCATCAGCTTGAAAGTATAGCTTCCTGACCCACTGAGTTTTTTTCTGTGTTTTCATTTCTGAAAGCATAAAAGTTATTAATATGTTATTATAAAAAAGAGATTGTCTGCTAACCCTTTCAATCCTCAATAAATGATTTCTTTATTCCAGAGAACTGCTATCGAGTGATGAAATGAAAGAGTACAATCGAGCCCGTGTGTACTTGGATGAAAACTACAAATCACAAGAGCATTTCACGGTATGGACAAGGTTTCTGGCCATTACAGCACAAGAGTATGGGACAAGAAGACTCAATAACGTGCCCTCTGTGTAATTCAACGATGGCACATAATTGCCCAAACATTAATAAGAAATATTAACATTGTGTCACTGATCACAAGTGGGCAGAACTGTGATAGATGGAGTTTCATGTTGCAAAATGTAAGGTAGAACAGTTTGGATAGAAAAATAATAGTTAAGAATATTTCTAAATGGTGCTCCTGAAAGCTGTAAAGTCAGAATTGATAGGGATGTTTTTCAACAATAAATAGACGTACACTTGGGTAGTAGTGGTATTAGGGAGTATGGTGAAAGGACTAGCATTGGGATTAAAAAATCTGCCAAAATCAAATAAACTAGGAATAAAAATAGGATTGATGAGCTGAATGGCCTCCAGTGTTCCTATGTTTTCTGTGTGACTTGTTGATCAGCACACACACAGGTCAACAGCTCTTTTTGTCTGGATTTCTTCTGGCACAAAATATAAATATTCCAATTTAGTTTAGAAGCACCAAACTGACTCGTGGATAGCTCAGAATAAATTGATACTGTGGATTATTTTTTAGTTTTACTTTTGGAAGCTCAGAATCAATTAGGTTTAACCTGTTTTCTTTATAATGTTCAGTTTTGTGGCGTTGAATGTTTTCAAACAAAATGAATGAATTTAGCGTTTCTCAGTAAAAGGCGTGATGGCACTATGTGTAATTCAGGAGAATAAACTGCTGTTATTAGGTTACCCAGAAAGGTCTGATAAGTGATGGGCTCTTGATTTTTGATTTTCTTAAAGAGATTCAGGAAATATTTCTTTATTCAGAGGGTATTTAACGGAATAGAATGGAAGGTTGACAGGAAGGATGTTTACAGCCTGGACACTGATTTTATTTAAAAAGCAGCTTGAGAGATGAGATTAGATGGACCGAAGGGCCTTCTTCATCCAAACCAATCTTGTGATCTTATGAACTTGATTTGTAAATCTCAAATTTGCTAAAGGAAATCTTGCAGTGGAAGACATCACCTGTTCAATGACTGTTTTTCCTAATCTAATGTAAGACAGTGTGAAGCGTTCCTAAGGCAGCCCATTATGTATGGCAATAAGTTTTGTTTAGCAGAACTTTATACCAGGAAATGGGTGGCTCTTGTGTGCGGTCATTCGTAAACTGCAAGCTGAACATCAGCGCTGTAGACTCTCAAAACGACAACCTTTCCTGTTGGGTTCCCACTGGAAACAAACACTTGAAACAAATTATGCTGGAAATGTGATTTTTCACCCCTACCACCACAGGTGAGAGAAAACAGAAAGTGCTGAAAATACACAGCAGGAAAAAATGGATATGTTCACTATTTATATCAGACATTTTGTCTGAACTGAAGCAATTGGGCAGGAGAAACACATTCATAGGATTAAGGAGAACCAACAGACCAAGAAAATGAAGACATTAGGAAGAAGTTAAGAATTCAAAACTTCTTACGGCATACATAGAGAGATCTGGTGGAACACATACAGATTGTGAACCATTGAAATGGATGTTAACCCATGTCACACATGAAGGTAATCTCGATGGGAGTCTAATATGCAGCCATTAGTAAGATATTGGAGTGGAGCAACAGATTTCCGGTGGTGTTTCTTATTAATATTTGAGGACGAACCAGTCACAGTACAACAGATTGGATTTGAATCAAACAATTGGATTTTCATTTTGAAATGATGGCAGAGACAGTTCTGATCCATCAGGTTCCAAGAAGCAGCTGCCACATTAAATTGCTGCAAGGTTTATAGAAATCTTTGGTGGTGAGCGATGCAGAACAGCATTAGCATTGAAGCTGAACCATTAACCATTGAATATGAGCTTCTCTGCAGGAGATACTGCCTGATCCTTCACAATTTTCAAACTAGTTGCTGTGTAAACGCAGAGGATGCAAAGTTAACTTTTCTAAATTAACATTCAACTTAAAATTGGAAACGTACCTCAGTGTCCCCATGATCACTTTCCAGGTGATTAACAAAACAAGTTGTCTGTCATCTGCCTTCCTGACTGGTTCTGAGCTTATTAGTGGAATTGTGTCATCGGGAGTGAGATCATTGAGTGGACATAATGCAAATCTCAACTCTCTGTGGTGAGAGCTCTCTAACGTCAGAGCTATTGTATGTGCCACCCCGTGTGGTCCTTCTATTTGCAGGGAACATGCATAAATCGACATATCTTCATCTCAAATTGGAGAGCTTAGGAGAAGGAGTGCTTTACATTGAAATTACTCTGTCAACCGTTCATGGTGTACATGACTGTAGTTTCATTAGCATGCACCAGGTGGCACTCATTGCGTGCTGACGCTGGAATTTAACCCAGGAACTAGCTCAGGTCTAAATAAATAAATATACAAAGGGAGCATTAAGTTAAATCTGTGAAATATTTAACCACACAAAAGTATATTACTGAATGGAAGCTGTTGTAAATATCTTCACATCTCCTTTACACCTGGCTGCCGTGTTCGCCCACAAAATACACAGTCAATCCTACAATATATATTTACAATATATTCTGCGAAGCACTTTGAGACGTCTCAATGATGTGATAAAGCGCTATATCAAAATGCAAAGATTATTATACTATAAAATTACGCTTGCATCTGTACTTAACATTCAAGCATGGCTGATAAATTAAATCTATTAATAGAGATATAAATTAATAAATTAATTAAACAATACATTAGAAAGACTACCTGTTTACACTGAATATCTAATTTTCTGGAAAACAATATGTTTATGATTCCTATTAGGATCCTTGTTTAGAGATCAACAGTCCCTAAAGACCCCTCAAGTGAGTCCCAGATTCACTCATTTATAGAGCAAATTCTGGGCATGAACTGCAGGTGTGCACACTTTAGTTTCCACATAAACCACAATCAATCAGTAACCTGCCCAACACATCAGATTAACATTTGACTGTTCATAAGTTAATATTGTATCCAACTTTATTTCTCACAGCTGGGAGAATCGACCATTGATGAGTAAGCAATAGGTGTGCCACCTCAAGAGGTGCGATATCATATTAAACAGTGGGTGTAACCTTGTTAAAGTCCAGAAACTACTGCTGTGCATAAACAAGGAAATAATGTTCAGAAAATTGAGGGCCATAAAGTTATTTAAGACCTAATTACATCTAATCGCTTACAAGAGTGCCACAATTTATTTTGAGATCCACCCTTCTGGATGTAATCAACTAGAAATGACCTTGTTTTCTTTGGACAACTGTGGTTGTATTGCTTCGAAGGGCCAGTTGGCTCTTGCCCCCCCACTTCACCTTCAAACCCCACCTAAAGACCTTCCTTTTTGATCGTGCTTACGGTCACCTTCCGCCTCCCTCTCCCCGGTTCGTTGTCAGACTTCGTCACTATGAAGCGCTCTGGGCGCTATATAAATGCAAGTTGTTGTTGTCACATGTGGTAATTTCCATGATTCCATATCAGAAGTTATGTGACATTGCTAGCACATGCCACTAGATGGTATCCAACAAGCAGGAATTCTGCTGGATTGGCTACAGTTTATTGGCATGAGAAAATAGGAAGTATATTCAGTTCCACTGGGAAACAGAACAATTAATTGTGTCGGACAATAGATTTTAACGTTTCCTTAATTCAGTTTTGCAGGAAAAAAATTATTAATCATTACGTTATCTTAAGCCATACATGTTATGTAAATAATGATGCCTCATTTAATACAAGCCTCACAAGCCACTATTATACATCTTCTCAAATGCAGACTAGGAGTAATTTTTCAGTATGTTAGCAAGCATTTCTACCAAAATGGGATTATCCAGGTAACCATGCCGGATGTAATAACTACTTTTACTAACTTCGCACAATGGATTTAGTATGCATTGTTCGAAATGTTTTTGCATTTTAGGTAGATGGTGTTGACTTGTCAGCAGTAACTTCATCTCAGTAACTTGGACATTAGATACTAACCAAATTCATAGTGCCTTCATCTCATTGCACACAAGGTTCAAAACTGGGCAAAATACTGACCCTCATGCTATTCAGTGGAAAGAAACCAATAATGTGGTATTTTCATCTTTGGATAAGATTGTTATTACTATTTTTCCAGTTTAGCACAGCAGATAATAGCAATGAGTATGATCCCCAATATTAAAGGAATTACCTACGATATGAGCAACAGTTAGACAAGGTAGGTCTCTTAACTTTATGATTTGAACCTTTGACCTTCTAATCTGAATGGCCTATGGCAACAATTAACAGTGCCTTTACTCACTAGGTTATCAGAAGAGCCCTTTTGGAGTTTAGTACAGTTGTACCAACACTTTTTGTCAGCTACTGCAATAAAAACAACCAAAAGTTGTTTGCTTATGTTTCCTTATGTTAACACATGAATTGGTTGGTGTTTGCTCATTTTGTGATAATGGGCTATTGATTAGACTGTCACACCCTGCTTGCATAGTTTTGCACACACCTTTATTTAAATGACGTTTCAACAAAGCCCGAAGGCAAAAGATAGTGTTAATAATATCTCGACTACCAGCATGTCAGTAATGTTTTTATGGAAGGGTTCAATAGTACTCCAAAGTGCTGTTATTTATGGTTAATCAAAAACGAGCATTGCAATTGCCTGAGAACAGGCCTAGAAGTCACTGAGTTCACCAAATTTCTTTTTTTTAACCAGTTGCCAGTAATGTTGCCTGTTTTAAACAAGTAGTTAATTGTGTCTTTATGTCTTGGTAAATGAGTTACTTTGGACAGTGAAGCTTGTAACATTGGTATCTGTCACCACAAGGAAAATGGTGTTTGTCCCTCTGCCACTCAGTAGCCAAATGTTCCCATTCTGCAAATTGCTGCTCCAACTAATCAATTGTATATCAATATTTTGCATGCAAATGTTTTTAGATAAGCTTATTAATTGACTGCAGTGATTGGATTTTTACCAAAAGATTATGGTTAAAACAGCTAGAAAAATTAAAACAATACTGA